GATCTCTTCTTTCCATATCTCATCTCTTATCTATAAACAAATCTTTAAAGCCTCGTTGTTCAGTCCTGATCAGCAAAAGTCCATTAAGGGTTACCAGAAATAACAACATATCTACTTGAACCTTGATTAAATAAACCCACTTTATATTCCTTCCTTTTACTTTTAACAATCTTAATCTTTAATCCCTTCAAATAAATGTCCCAGAGCTTGTTTATGATCTCTTCTTTCCATATCTCATCTCTTATCTATAAACAAATCTTTAAAGCCTCGTTGTTCAGTCCTGATCAGCAAAAGTCCATTAAGGGTTACCAGAAATAACAACATATCTACTTGAACCTTGATTAAATAAACCCACTTTATATTCCTTCCTTTTACTTTTAACAATCTTAATCTTTAATCCCTTCAAATAAATGTCCCAGAGCTTGTTTTCTTTTCATTTTTTATTTGTCCCTTCTCTTTCTCACAAAATCCTTCAGAACTTTAGCAAGTTTTCTTTTGTAAATCCAATATAAGAAAGTTATCCAAGTCGCTGTTTGGGTTTGCCATTTGTATATCCCTTTTCATTGTTAAGACATCAGCTGGTTTCATTTGTATATCCAGTGAAGCATCTTTTTCCATATAATTCTTTCAGCCTGTCATTTTTTAAATCCACTTTCAGATCAGTCTCAGTCTTGTCCAGTAAAACCTGTTCCTCTTCCATAACATCTTTTAAAGACAGTCTATCTATAATGGCAGACGCTTTTAAGATTAACTTCTGGATCCATTTCTCACAAATATCCTCCAGTACATCCAATGTTAAAGTAATTTGCTCCATTCTGTGTTAGTAAGTCAAATTTAAATGTTCTTCTCCTTTAATTGTAATGTTTAGTTCCTTTGGTTCCCTCTAGTGCCCAACCTGCAAATTGCCATCCTATCATGTTTTCTTTTCAGAATTCTGAACAAAAGCATTTTCCCAAGGGAAGGATTCTTATGATTAATTTCAAAACCTTATTTCAAATCCATCTGTACCCTTAGTCCATTTATAACTTTCCAAAATCAAGATTCTAATCACCCTTTTGCTGTTTATTTCAAAAAATAGAGGTTTTTTTTTTAATGTCCTTAAACTTATCTTTAAAACTTCTTTCACTAAGGATTAAAGTAAACTCACCCACTGCATGTTATCAGACTTGCCGATCAGAAGGTTCTTACTAGTTGAAAAGCAGTTGAGAAGCAATTTCCAAAAGTGATTAAGAAATGAGGTATGGCAGAACTTTGTGTCCTTAAGGTTGTATTGTGGCTGTGAGCTTGGTGGAAGTCTCTCAACTCCCAGCAGGTCCACTGAAGAGCCAACTGCAAAAACCTAAGTTCCTTCAGTTTACTCATGAGGAGCAGCTCTCCAGAGTGCAAGTGTGTGATCTCATGATCTCTCTTTTCTCTGGAGAGGCCTGGCTGGCCGGAAAACATTGTCTGATCACCGAACTTGCCACAATGTTGTCTCCACTCCTTCAGGGACATCTAGTTCACCATTAATCCTCACCAGAAGTGAAAGTGCAATCTTTCTAGGTTATCTTGGAGAGGTTGTAATCAAATAGATCCATTTTAACATGTTGGTGAGGGTGCCTTTGGTTAAAAGTGTTTGAAGACTTCAGGAAAATTACTCAGTAATCTTTGACTATGAACCTTCCTGTTGCTTTGTGGTGCAAAAATTGATGCAACATAAGGAATTGATTCACTTTCTGTTGTTAGCTGCAAGGTATGTTATTGGAAAACATTGAAAAACTAAATTTACACCTTTCTTTGAATCAATGGTATTTAGAAGTGTGGGAAATGGGTTCTGCTGAAAAATTAATACAAAACAGAACTGTAGAGTTGTAGAGTTAAACACGCCAGAATTAAAGAGAGGTATAGTATATTCAAACACATTCATATTTTTATACCATTTCTTAGATATATAATTAACATTTTTTGTAATAATTTGCCTGATAAGTGTCATTCTGGCTAGAAACATTTTAAACACCCACATTCAATACTGATATTACATTTCTCTTGAGCACCACATAGATTTGTGTATGTGTGTGTATGTATATGTGTACGCATGTAGGTATATGTTCCTTTTTAAATTTGCTTTTTTTTTGGGGGGTCTATTTTCCTTTTCAAGTCTGTATCTTCAGCTCTTCTCTTGATCTCTTGGTCATTTAATAAAAGAAAGCCATCTTATCTTAGAATCCAAGTATGTATCTTTTCATCTCTTTGCTAAAGAATGTTATTTGGTTGAGATAGGTATTCTCCATGTTCTTTCCATTGCCTGTTTCTCAGTTCTTTCTTGCTTTCCACTTGCTAATGGCTTTCTTTCCTTTCCTTGCTTCAGGGGCACTCTCATATTTCCTGCATGCCAGGAACTGTCCGACGCTGGAATTATCCCCCTCCACTTTGCATCGGTAAGAGTTGACTTAGTTCTTTGTCCAGGACACACCCTCCCTCCCTCTCTTCCTCCCTTCCTTCTTCCCACCCACCCATCTCCTTCCTTCCATCCTTCCATCCTTCCATCCTTCCATCCTTCCACCCACCCCTCTCTCCCTCCCTCCCTCCTTTCTCCCAACATGTTAAATCCAGTAGTAAGAGTATTTAATTATTTAATATTTAGCCTACCTTTATTTTTTGGCCAACTCAGAGCAGCATATGTACCTGATGGTCCCAACTCCTGTTTTCCCAACAACAAACCAGAGGTGGGTTGGATGGAGAGCTGGCCTTCATGCCCAAGGGAGGACTAGAACTCACGGCCTCCTGGTTTCTAGCCCACCTTCTTGGCCATTACCCCAAATTAGCTCTCAGGAGGAGGAGGAGGAAGGACTGGGGCACTGCAAGCCTATGTTGCAGTCTTTCCCTGGCTTTTGTTATCTCAGCCTGGGGCTGAGGGGCTATAGGTATCAAAGATGGCAGCCCTTGCGGTATGTTGCATTTTACTTTATGTGCAGCATTTAATTCTTCATGTTACATTCAGATGTTCCACTAGTTTGCACACAAGTTAGTGAGCATCCGAACGTTAAAGAAATCTTTACTCTGTGAAACTTTATTCTCATCAAATGCTTTTCTAGTATTCTCTTATCTTTATAAGAGCTATCTTAGCTGTCTTTTGTACGCTTTCGTGCACAATTTTAGCCACCCCTTGTCTGTAGGAAACAAAGAGAGTACAAATAAGTGTCTTTTCCCAGACAGGAATGAGGTCAGCAATAGATGAATGTGTTTGCTACCTTGCCAAGATCACAAACAATACCCAAAGAACATCTGTTAGACTAGACCTTCAGTGATTTAAGTGTGAGAATGTTAAGTTTTGCCTCCTCTAAAACATATGATCTCCCCAGGTTAATGCAATGAAAGTCATCCCCTAAATACTTTATACCAGGTATATCATAGCCTATAAATAGAGAAACCATTTTTTTTAACTCTTGCCTCAACTCTACAGGATTGTAAGCACCTGTTTTGACCTTAGTGAGCGAAGTAGAATATTTTGCTGCAGCCGTGCTTCTCTCTGGTTTTCTTATTGGGTTTGTGGATTTATTAAAAAAAAAAAAA